TCATGCTTCGAACTCTGAGATGTGTGTTGTTCATCTGTATGAATAATAGTAACGAGTGGTTTATCAAAAAAAAAAAATAGTAACGTGTGTATGAAGTAAAAACAAAACCCTAACTGTGACGTAAAAACCCTAACTTCCTCCGCAAACCACCAGGTATTCTTTCACAAACCCTAAATTCCTTCAACATCATAGCTCCTAAAGGCCATGGGCAAGCCCCCACCCTCTTTCCAGAAATTAGTCGCGAGTTGTATAACCTTCCGGTGATAATTCGAGTGCTGAAGAGGATTAAAAGTAGGGCTTGTGGCCGGGCGGTACTGCGGGCAGAGACCACCCTTCTTGAAACGCATCCCGCAAGCGTTACATAGAGTTTTAGGCCCAGACGGCCCTTCCCTCCATTGCGGTGTATCCGTCGTTTTACAGTGTCTGCATATGTAATCCGTTCTGTCTTCAGAACCTAGGAGATAGGCCACAGCCTTTCCCTTATGTTTTTTCATCCTAATCATGTGGTCGAACTCGTTTTCCGGTTCAGATGACGATGAACAAGAAGAGGATGGGACTTGAGGTTGTTGTTGTCGCCTTCGCTTGCCTCTTAGACGTTTCGGGACAGTATTTTGCCATCCTGCTACTGCTAGGCCTTGAAAATCTGATGAATTTGAATCCCGGCCTTCGAGGAGAGTAAGAGAACTCGAAGTTTTCATTGCTTTGAGATCGTTTTTTTCATCGTAAGAGGCCTGCTCGGAGGCCTCGAGCTGAAGCTGCTCCCCAGAATTCTGAAACAAAGGATGATAAACCTTTTAGAACTCGTTTTCACATAATACCAGTAGCATCTTCTTTCTCGCAACTAGTTTTCACATGATACCTATACCAATATCCGAGTCACATAATACCGATACCAATAGCATTATTCGTTGAGAAAGAGAAATATCCGTGTCATGATACTCAGAAAACTGTTCTTTCTCGGTGGCTTAAGCACAGTCATTACTTTTCCTGTCCAACGAGATTCAGAAACATCCTGGTCTGGTTCAACTATCTAACGTGCAACAGGAACAAACGAAGGGCTTCCAAAACCTTCAACCAATGTTTCTCGTCCAAGACAAGAACTAATGGCGCGAGCAATGTAATGGTTCAATAAGCAAGTTTCTTCAGCATGATAAAACTTATTCGAGTGGATGAACTAACCAGAAACTCGGGTCCAATTTTGGTTTCCGCGGGTCCGTCCAGAACGTCATCGATTAATGGTAAATCGACCTCGTTTGAGACGAGTTCTTGCCATATAGGAGAGGGAGGGATATCAAGATATTCCCAATCAACCTCCGGAATTTCGTCAAGAATAAATGTATAATCTGGTAGTCCATCAAAAAATCCTCCAATGTCAGACATCCTACGCAATACAAAGTATAATATAATTTCCGGAAAAGAAAAGTCTACGTTACCCCGTGCATGCGTGAGTTATATACATGTTATATATAGAGAGAGAAGTTCAAACGTTCTAATAGATAAAGACAGAATCTTAGCAAGATAAAATCCAGGGATTTACATTGTATAGCGAAATTTTGATAGAATCAAAACAGTAAGAACAATCATATATAACGTAGGATTCGGTGTTTGATATGTTTTTACCGAACCGCCCAACTAAATATAAAAACAAATTATGAAAACGTAATCTACACAATGTTTGCCCGAAAAAGTGCACCGACAAATTAAAAAACAAAAGTAAATGTACCTCACGTGCAGATCTTGTGAACGGCGTCTCGATGGGCAATGCCTTCATGAGCTCCGCCGATAGGACAGAAAATCCACCTGAGCGATCCGATCAACGGTGATACCATGCGCTGGATCAGGCAAGTAAAGCCCTGCTTCCTTCGATCGGAACTTCCTGTAGCTTGAGAACGTGAAATCCTTCGGCCGGAACGGCAGAATCCGACCGATACTTCCCAAAACCAGATCGGCCTCCGTCTGAATCGCGATCTAGAATCTTCCTTAGTACTTGAAATTGTAGCTTGAGATGATGAATCTGATCCGAGAATCATTGTAGCTTCCGACGATTCGCCAGAACTCATTAGGGCTCCGAATGGACAAAACCCAGAATTCTCCTCTTTAGATTTTTTTTTTTTTTTTTTTTTTTTTGGGGGTTAGTACTTGAAATTGTAGCTTGAGATGATGAATCTGATCCGAGAATCATTGTAGCTTCCGACGATTCGCCAGAACTCATTAGGGCTCCGAATGGACAAAACCCAGAATTCTCCTCTTTAGATTTTTTTTTTTTTTTTTTTTTGCGGTGATGAGGATTTAAAATAAGAGAAAATGGGATTTTATAAAATATAAATGGGATAATATTTTTCCACAATTACAAGCCTATACCCACCTTCCACAGTCCCACACGACCTAACTAAGCAGAATTCACATTCGTATCCTTATATAAGCACTAATTCCGCAATTGCCCCATTTTCTTTCTTTTTTTCTTCCCCGCTAAAAACCATCCATTTCACTTATACCCCAAAAATTGATAAATTACGTAAACTACCCCAAGTTTAAACAAATCACAAACAAAAAAAGATGCAGAAAAGAATTCTGATATCCCCATTTTAACCTTTTCCTCCGATCACCTAGGGCGTGGCCTCGCCGGAAACGAAAGAGCTTGCCGGAGTTTCCTCTGCGACGATGACGGCAAACTCGAGCTCGAATTCGAATTAGGGTTTCCGAAAGTCATAGTTTGAGATAGATTCACCATATCCACCATTGATGGAGTCTGGTAAGTCTGCAACACTCTCGTCTCGCTCATATCGCCTCTGGCAGTCGCTCTCTGCCATGAATGCGAGCTCAGACCCGACAGAACATAAGCCCGACCCGACGTCTCGTACACTTGTCGGCTCGCCATTCGCTCCTGCGTCTCCCTAAGCTCGGCACAAAGGGCCACGCACAACGGGTCATTGGCCCGACCAGACAATGTTTCCAACAGAAACTGGCGGCATGTCTCCAGCAGAGACACGGCCGCTGTAAGATCCCCGCGCTCGGCTAAAACCCTAGCCTCAGATATCGCTTCTGCAGCACGTAACCTGATCCTCTGCCTGTCTACTTCTACTGACAAAACCGCCAAACCAGTTGTTTCTTGCGGCCTAAGGATCTTCACTTCTCCGGAGTCGCGCGCCGTGACAGTCTCTTTCGTCACGGGATCTCTGTAATCGCATTTGACTTTCAGAAGTGACATCTGATCTGAAGTTTCGTCAACCGGGATGTCGAGATTCACCAGAAAGTTTCTCTCTTCATCTGCATATAGATCTCCTACGTTGATGATCCCAGTTCTTGAATCTGGGCAGCGATTAACACTGTAGCTTCCGGCTTTTATCGAGCTGATACGTAATCCCGGATGAACACACTCGACTTTGACGCTCAGTTCCTGAACTACTACGCTCAGAAGGCCTCCGATACACTGAGCGAAAGCGTCCTGTAAAACAGTTTCGGCTTCTATGAAGGAAAATGTCCCTCCGGAGTTTTCTGATATTGAGTGCATCGAGCAGGCATCGTGGTCTGCACCAAACCCGAAAGCATGAACTGGAATCGAGTTTCCATTGTTTTGTCGGTTACCAATCTCGATCGGGAGGAGGGCTTTGTAGTAGTCCATCCCTCTGGAGCAAGAACCATTGGGACTAGTAACAGAGTATGTGTCTTGGCCATCAGACAAGAGTATGATACTGGACACAGGGTTCTTGTACCTACGATCGATCAAGGCTCTTGCTCCTTTCTTCAAGCCCTCTGCTATGTTTGTTCCACCGTTTGAGACCAATGAGTTAACTGCCTGTAATGCTTCTTGTTTCCCTGTCTCGGTCATGAGCCGAAGAGGAAAGATGCGTCGTGCTGAGGAGGAGAAGGCTATGACAGAGAGCCTGTCGAAGGGGCCGAGGTTCTGGATCACAAACCCCATGGCTTGTTTCAGCAGCGCCAGTTTTGTCCCGGCCATGCTTCCGCTCACATCAAGAACCGTGACAAGATCAACCGGAGCACGAGAAGACGATGCTTTCGGGGCAGAAGGAGGAGCCTTTATATTGATCAGAACGACGAAATCTTTATACGAAACAGACCTCAAGACTTCAGAGATTTCGGGGTAGGTTTTCACTTCCATGCTGCCAGAAACAACACTGCACTGCTCCTGAGTCGATCCAGTGGATCTGTGTTGATGTTCCAGAACTTCGTCATCATTGTAAATTGCGGGCTCGGGGCCATTGAAGGGAGAAGAGACCGGCCTAGATCTTTCCGGTCGAGTAGAAGACCGAGGCTGGACCCTATCTCTGAGCCGACCACCCAAGAGGTTCACATGCTTAGGGTTAGGGCTCTGAAGAGGGATCTCTTTCCATTTGGCCCGGCACACGGGACATATCTGGTTCCCATGCTTAACATTGGTTGTAATGCAATGGAAGTGAAACGAGTGTGAGCATTCTGCAGTGAAAATGGCATGCCCTAAACCCGGCTTCATCTCCATCAAGCATATCGCACACGTCTTCTAAAAATCCATCGAAACAAAATCACTAAACGGTTTCAGTCTTCATACGGCAAATCAGTTCAAGATTAGCATGAAAGAAACACATGAACACATACCAAAGAAGCAAAACAAAACACTGAAATGTTCTGGTTTGGTAAAAGAGCTTTAGTTTGAGTGAATAAACAGTTGCAGAAAGATGGTTTGGTAAATGGTAACTACAGAGTTAAAAGGTCGTTGTCCATATTACCAGAATCCAAGGAGTCAGTTGTGTCATACTCTGACACAGTTTGTGTCATAATGCAACCTCTCTATTATTGAAAGGTTGCATAAAAAGAAACAAAATAAAAAAGATGGAATCTTTCCATACCAGAAAAGGAAATGACAAGATGGGTTGAATTCATTAGTCACCAAAGACGTTGAGGTAAGTTTGTTCATCTTAATAGCTTGGAGACATGAAAATGAAACAGAGGAACTCATTCACAGGAAAACAGAGTAATGCTGTTTTAAGAACTTTTAATCGTAATATGTTTCCAAGTTTAGATCTTTATCCATTTTTTTTTCTTTCTCTTTTGGTAATTTTGATAGTTTTACCTTAAAGAAACAATGGGTCTATAAGGTCAAGGCATGAAGAGATAACAATAGACAAAAGAGGAAAAACAAAGACGCGGCTTTGAAAAGTTAAAGTACAGAACAAACCAGATCGGCAATCCAAAGCTTTGTAGAGAAATTCAACGCTTATAAAGATTATAAAGAGCATTGGTAAAAGAGATAAGGCAAAGCAAAGTTAAAGCTTAGAACACAGAAAAAAAATAAGGAAAGAACACAAAAGATTAATGGGTTTCTACAAAGATTCAACCTTTCCTTGTAAAAAAAATCCCCAACAGGATATACCCCAACACATTCAACATCTTACAAACCATGTAATCATGTGAATTCAATTCACACATGATATGAGGATGTGTTCATGATGGTCATTAGGCCAAAAGTTTCTTCATTTTCATTTTGCCTCGCGGTTTCATAATTCCTCGATTCTATGGAGCTTAAGAGGGCTAATTGCCGGTGATCAGAATCATATTTACAGTGGCTACAACAATAGATTTGGAGAACTAATATGGGTTTATTTCAACTGCGATTGAACAGTTGTTGGGGAAGAAAGAAAGAAAGATTGGTCCTAGAGGGGTGAAGTGGCACTTGACTGCACCAAAACTTTAGCCCCACACAAAGGCTCCATTTTGGAGAGTTGAAAATTACAAAACAACAAACACTCAAGTTCTCTACAGAAACCAGAAATGAAAGATGAAAGGAAAAAAACCCACTATGAACAAAAGGAAAGACACAGAAAAAGCAAAGAAAGAAATAGCATCATTTTCACTTGCCCCACCTCCACCAATACAAAAACTGCATTATTAGGCACTCTAAACAAAATAAACAAAAAAAAAAGGGGGCAAGACAAAGAAAACCCATCTAAAAAAACATGGTCAAGGGTCCTAATCAAAACCATGAGTCGATTAGGACAAGTGGTTTTTTTGTAGAAGGTCACTAATCCAAAACAGTTAGATTCAAGATTAATTATGACTCCAGAAAAATATGTTTCTTCACCCATAGTTTTCACACACAGGACAAGACTTTCAATGTTGCGCAGCCTCAGAATGTATATCACAAGTGGATAGGCATAAGCCTATGTATCTATTTTTATAAGCATGCGCATATGCTGAAAACCAGATCATTATAGGGCAATCCTACAACTTTGAATAAAATAATTCTTTTTTTGGATTATGGATAGTTATGGAATCTCTAAGAGCTCCTAATGGTGGTAAGTCAGGAACCAGCGGCTGTAATAGACCAAGAACTCAGAACCCACCAAAATTGGACCATGGAACTACCATTAGGATCATTGGATGAGCATGAAAATCTAACCGATCTTGTTTGTAAAGCATTTGGATTCGATAACCTTAAAAAGAAGTTTATTCAGAGATTTAAAAGGATTAAACAAAAGTAAAGTAACAGAGTCAAATTTTATATAATAGAATTTGCAGTTCCAAGAAAGATTAGCCCTTGGATTTGCTGCAACCATATCATGACCAGAAGAAATTCAAAGATCCGGAGATCCAACGGCATTCAACAACCCAAATCAGAACATGAAAATTGTAATTTCAAAGACTCGAGAGCTTCGAAATTAGCATCAAGCATGAACAGCAACAACAAAATAAATCAGACCAATTACGAAATCAGACACCCAGATGAAGAGCACGAAACAAAAATCCAAACTTTTTGCCGAACATGAACAGAACAGCGAAAAATGAGGTAACTGCAACAAACCCATGATCCAAGAAAACGAATAAAAAAGAAAGAAAAACTTGGAGAAAATTCGGACCTTGGATTGGGATTTATTGAAGGACCTGGACAAGCGGAGCCCAGAGGACGACGGTGTCGGAGTGGTGGGCCGAACCGCCGCAGCCGCAGCCGCAGTCGCCGCCATCGTCGGAGAAGAAGCGTCGTCGGAAGATCTCCGGGGAGGAGAAGTGGGATCGTCGAGCGTCTTCGGAATGTCGAGGCACATATTGAGACCTAATGTTAGCTTTGCTTTTCTCCATTTGCTTCCCATTTCTCGGAACAAAACGGAAAACCAAAGAAAAAGAAGAAGAAGAACCTAAAGGTTTGTTTGGATTCCGGGAAAGTTTCAGAAAGAAAACTTCAGCTCTTATTGCGAACGTAATCGAAGAAGATGAGCAATGAATGAATGCTACGTTCCTTGCTTGGAAGGAAGAGAGAGAGAGAGAGAAAGAGAGAGAGAGACGGTGGGGGGGGGGAGCATTTGACCTTTTTGGGTTTCGGGGTGAAGGGTAAAATGGTCAATCTCAAACCATTGTTAAGAACTTATGGATTATACCCAAAATGAAATCGACCTTTGATTTAGATTTTAGTGTTCTTTTATCGGTCAGAATACGACTTTTAATTCCATGAGAAAGCCTCCTTAGCAATTTTACCAAAACCGGCTATTTTGAATTACAATATATTTTTTAGATTTTACAAATTATATATATATATATATAAACAATCTTCAAAAAGATTTTCTATTAGTTTAATTGTTTGAATAATTACAGATGAGTATTTATTTGATTGTAACCTATGCGTATCTCGAATAGAATCAATAAAGATTTTATGATATCCTTTGGTCTTAAATAGGGTGAGTTGTTACAATTTAATGCCTTGACTTGAGATTTGAAGGATAAATGTTTACTTTGGTATATTTACACATATTTGATATTTGATATTTTATGATTTACACATATTTGATATCTGACATTTCATAGATTTTTTAAAATAAAATTAATGGAATTCAAACTATTATAGTTTAGATCAAACATATAAGATTTTTTTAAGATCAGTTGAATTTCAATTAAATATGAAATTAATAAAAATCGAATTAAAACAAAATCAAATTCCAAATAATATAATTACAATATAAAATCTCCATTCTAATGCAGTTGTACAAGTAAAAAGTATTAGCTATTAATCAACGTATACAAATTTGACTAAAATAACAATTTTTTTAGTGAATAAATAAATTAAGGGATAATTCCATTTAAAACCCTGTACTTTTCTCTCGTCGCAATTTAAATCCTATACTTTTTTTTGATCCAAAAAAATATTGTACTTTTAAAAATTAGAAATTAAAACTCTATACTTTTAAAAATTGGTAAATAAAACCCTGAACGAAAAAATATATTATTTAATGCTGACATGGCATTCTAGTCATCTGCCACATCATCAATCCCTAATATTTAATAATATTAATTAATACAAAATAAAAATAAAATAATAATAATAATAATAAAAATAAAATTTTAAAAATTATACACATACATATATAATGAAATGATATACATATATACACATATATAAACATATTTATATATATACACACATATATATAATACATATATATATATATGTTTTATATGCATATGTGGTATATGTATTTTTTTTTCTAAAAATCA